CGCGCTGAAGGGGTTTTGAGGGGCTCGGGCAGGCTCTGCTGCCCGCTGGCCGTCCCGCCGTTTCTCGGGCTAAAATGCTGGCGAGGAGTATTGCAGAGGTGTAACAGGGCTGAGCAATCGCTAACGAGCGGCATTTGCCGGCTTAACAAGAAGCTCCTGTGAGGGCTGATAGGGACCCCCCGGATGGCTGTCCACGATGTCTAAATAAAGGATTTTCCTGTTTAAAAACAGGAGAATTGAGGAAGCTAAATGAAGACCAAGTAGCTTCTTAAGTGTAAAACCTCTTCCTTTTTGTTTGTCTGAGTTTTTTGTTTGGTGGTTTTTGTTTTTTTTTTTTAACTGATAGACATTATGCTTTAGTCGATGGGGATATTTTTATTCACTGTTTTCCAAATTCTTGGCAATGTACAACACTGCTAATGAAGCAAATATAGACAAAACCGGTAAAGTTGATGTTATAACATTTTTAAATGCTGTAATGAGCCTGGTGTTGCAACATCCACATTTAATGGAGGGAAGAAAATACAAAAAAAAAATCATCTGATTAAGAAAAAGGGACACAGGAAATTGAAAGGCCTGCATAGTCAGTTTAAAATACAGAAATGAGAAAGTTAGGAGAGTGTATAATTACAAACTTCTCTTGTATGAAATGTATTAACGCTTTACCACAAGTTCCAGACCTGTGATACGTGGATGCTTCCCTTCGATTTGTGTTGGGGTGGCTATTGCCTTCCTGAGGCCACAACTGATCTTTTGGTTGTGAGGCAGCCCCCCAGCACGATGCCTTTCCTTTGCCTTCATCTGGGCTGACACACCAAAAGCCCAGCACTTTCCTTCCCGTTCCAGGTGTGACTGAGCCTGCCAGCTGCCTCCCCAGCTCTCCCCGTCTTCATCCATTTCTATCCTGCGACCTGCCTTGTTACCCTCACCACACATCTCCAAATGCAATTAACTTTATTTTCTTTGTAATCACTGCTGCTGGACTTGGTGTTTCCCATCGGCATAGCCAAGTCACTGGTAGTGTAGCTGCCTACCTGCTGATTTGCATACCTATCTCAGCAGGAGTATCACCCTCATCCTTCCCCCTCTTACCAAAAAAAATTGTATGTAGTTTCATATATTATGCAAAAAGCATAAAAATGTATGGTAACCCGCTTCTCATTCAGCCAGAGGTTTGGCCTTTATGGTGATACAGCGTTTCCCAGTATTGGGCTTTGTTTGCACTGATTCTCTGTGCATGGATGCTTTGGTCCTAGGCTGTGGTTTCTCTGTCTAAACAATGTGGTAGTCTAAGACCTCAACTTCCTACTGCAGAAATTACATGTTTTTGTAGGTGCTGGTTTGTCGTCTTAGCAACAGTAGTCGCAAGAAACAATAGAGACAGAGCAAGCTGAGAGGCCGTGCAGCTCTAATGACATTTGCCTCTGAAAGATGGTTGATGAAGATGCACTGTAAAAAGTGAACTCATATAATAAGCACTGATACAATATTTATTAGTTAAACCACAGGTATGACTACTACAGCTCATTTCTAAAGGGACCTCTAGTTTTGAAATTACAATCATAAGTTTTAGTAGTAGGTTTGAATTTGTCTAAGGGAATTCAGTAAAGTTGGTGGATATCTACCTATTTTCATTTGTTCTTAGAATGGGTCGTGGGTATGAAATGTGATGCAGACTTTTAACATATGGTCCATTTTTTCCAAAATATTTTAAATAGCAATTACTTCAGGATGCAACACTTAAAAAAGTCCTGGTTGTGAATTTCTGAGACATTAATAATCTTTTTGCATTGTAGAAAAAAAAAAAAAGACTCGCTTACTAACCATTTCCACTGGAATCTGCCCTGAGACAGAATCCCTCAAGAGAATACATGGCCCTAAGATTAGAGCTGCTGCTCTTCTCTGCTGGGGAAATCTGCAGATAGATCGTAGCTGCACGTTATGTACTGCTGGCAGCAAGGCCACCATGCTGAGGCAATGGGCAGCTACATGGGGCCCTGGCCCCAGGAGGTTTGGTCAGCTGGAAGGATGATTCCAGGGGAGACAAGACTGTATTGGCCTTTTCTCCTCCAATGCAACTTGTGAAAGTTTCCCTTTGCAGGCTGTATCTGATCAACCTCTCTCAAAATCTCAGAATTGAGATGGAACATGAACTGCAAAACTCTCAATTTACCTTGGGGAGCTTAGGTTGGCAGGAGGAACGCTGTCCTTGTGGGAAGCTCGGGTTTGGTCTCTAATTTGATTTGTGGTCATCTGGACAGTTGACATTTGATTACTGCAAAGTGTATTTTATTAAATTTCTATAAAGAAGATTGGCAGAAGAGGCTATTCGTTTATCAAGGCAGCTTTCTAACATGCATTGCTGAAACGATGGATATGTGATCACTTATGCTTATTATTTGTTTTACCTGAAAACTGTAAAATATTGAGGTGAAACTGTAAAAGCAGTCAGAGAATATCGTCATTTTTATTGCACAGTTTCAGTGCTTCTAGCAGGAAATGTACATCGTGTGACAATTCAGCCTGGTAACAGCTTTGTTAAGTAGATCAATAGATTACTTCAGTTTTTACAGAAGTTGCAAGTACTACAGAGAGATAGTGGGATCATGGTTTGTAAACCTTAAGCCACACTTTCCTGCACAACAATCTGCAAAGATACTCTTTTTTGTAAAGCGGGTATGTGATTTTCAGCTGAAAGGAACTTCCTCTTTCTTCACAAGGACTAAATAAATGTTGTTTCTGAGAACGTGCATCCTGCTGTTGCCTTCTAGTTTGCGCTTGAGTGATCAAGTGTTTCCTTAAGTGAAGGGCTTGTCATGAGCCATTTTGTGACTCTTCGTGTTTTTGATGCCAAACTTCAGCCAACAGAAATCGAGACCCTGGATCTGTTGAGGAATTGTTTGGTGTGCAAATGGGACCTGCGGAGGAGAGAGCCCAGAATGCTACCTTGCCTTCATTCTTTCTGCAAGGACTGTCTTCCGGACTTGATTCAAGGATACAGCTGTATTCCCACTGAGTATGAAGTTCTATATGAAGGTAATATTTAAGAATCTCTGGCTTGTGCTCTTTGTATTACAGTATTCTAAAAATAGATGAATTGAGAAGTACCTTTTGTAGCCTATTCCTTTACAGCAATACTTTAAAAGAATAAACTAGAAGATTCAAGATTTATATGAGCAAAGGGTGGTTTGGAAACAAGCCTTCTTTATGTTTTTCATCCGACAGCAATGTTTTGAAGAGAAATGACACAGTCAGGCAACATTTAACGTTTCCAGAATGGGCTAAGTTTCAGTTACCAAGTGTGACATTATAAATATTCTATTTGCTTAGCTTAATGAATGAATAAATGCTGCAAGGTAGTTTCTAGGCTACTTCTTTATCCAATCTTTTGGACATGTTGGACCTATCTATGGTACCGTTTGTGGTGACAGTTTAATTCTTCCTTCTTTCCCCCTCCTGTGCCTCCCCACCCTCCAACATCCAGCTCTTTGTTCCGAACAGAGGTCATAATAATTGTTATTAGAATATGTGTATTGTGGTGCACTGAAACTTCCTTTTATCACATCGTAAATGTGGTTTCTTTCTACCTGAACTCTTCTGACTGTAGGATATACTGTAACTCACCCTAGCAAGCTGAGTAAACTAGTGAGGATGAGAAGCATTTTGTAACTGTGGCTTTTGAAATCCTGACGTTATTAGTACAGTTTTTGGTAGTGATATTAATAGAAAATACGTAACTTTTTTTGGAATGACGCAGGACTTAGATCACAGAATTACGGTCATTTTAACTGAATGAGTCTCAATTGCCGTGGGGAAGCATTCCAAACTCATTACTAATTTATAAGAAGAGCAAAGGCATGTAGATTACTTGTATTTTGACAGGCTTTGAACTGTAGATGAATAAGAGGCATCATTTATTAGCAGATTTCAGAAACATGTAGGAATATATGATACCTTCCCTGAGGTGATGGTAATCTGAATTGATGAGATAACATAAACTAGGCAAGTTCAGGTTTGAGAACAAATGGAAACACTGTTAGAAGATCACTGTTGAAAGGCTAGGAAAACACAAAAGATAAAGGAAAAGGGAATAACGTAATGGCAAAGGAGAAAGGCTATTCATGTGTAGGGTACAGACAGAAAAAGGTATAAAGGTAGGAGAAGAAGACAGAGGGCAAAGCAGTCATTTCAAGTAAATGTCTCCTTAAAATTTTTAATGCCCAATCATAGTGGGCTTAAAGTCTGAGGGACCTACTTTATTATAAAGTGCTGTGGAAAACAACCACTCCATTACTTTTTGTGTGTCCTCATTTGACATCTAGGTCATTCCCCTCTCCTCCTTGTTTCTGTTTGCCAAGTGGAAAAGTGAATTTATACCACTTAGTGATCTCGGATGAAGTGCAGCTAGAGGTTCTCATGAGTTGTTAAAATGTTGGATATTTCTTCAAGCTCCTGAGTGCATCAGGAATTATTTGTCTGGAGCAAACTGGAACAAATACTTAGTTTCTTTCTGTATTCTTGAAGTTCTCTAATTCCTCATTCTCTTGTAGATAGGGAACTTCTATGGGAAAAGAAATAATGAACGGTGATGACCCAGTAAATGAAGTGAGACACCAGGTGCAGAGACTCAGTTAATATATGAGCAAGGATAACAGCAAAACCAAAACATCTGTGTCTCTTAAATAAGTCAATGACCAAAACTGCAACTACCGTAGGTCAGCCGGGATAAATTTGTGAAATCTTCTGATAGCATGATGCTAAATGTTGCTTGTCTTATCTGCAGCAATTGTTGAGTTATGGGTAGTACAACACCAACTCAATTTTCAGTGTTATCTCTACGTATGATCATATAGAAGTGCCAATGATAAACTATAAATACAAGTGCTAAACCATTTTAGCTGAGTAAAGATGAAATATTGCCTGTAAGAAAAATGTGCTCCTTACTCACTATGAATTCTTTAAGCAAAATATAACAATGGAAAAAGTGAACGTATTTCTAAGTGAAGTCAATCTGACATTTGCTACAAAAGCACACTTGAATTTGTGGTTTTCAGTATGCTTTACTATAAATAGTACTATATTAACATAAAGCTTTTTTCTAGTTTATTGTTGTTGTATTAAGATTGCTGAGAAGATGGAGGTAAGTGGCCCTGATATTTGATGGGGGTTGATGTTGGAAACTTACTTTTATACCTGTATGTGTTTAAGGTGACTCATGAACAAAAGCTCTCAGATAGCCAGAGCTCATATGGCACAGCTGCACACTCATCAGAATTTATTCAGAGCTGTGAGAACTGGGAGTTTGGAAGTAATTTGAGTGGAGAAAGAAAATTATCTTTGTGAGTTTGGCTCCTACATATGCTTCTTATATGAAGGGGCCTTTAAGATTCTCAGGTTTTCTTTTTCTGCAGGCCAGTGTCACTTTCCTTTTTTTATTCCCTCGCTTCACCTAACAGAGAATACACATTCTTCTCCTCTGCAGATCTGCATGTTGTGTGTTTCCAGTCTGTTTAGTGCATGGGAAGGAATGATTTTAAAAAGAGGGACTGGGTAAGAAAAAGAGAGAGAAAATTCCCCCGTCTCCTGAGATGGAAATTTCTCAGATAAGGACTTTCCCAGGCTCCTACCTGTATGAATTGCCACTCACAGTACAATGTGAAAACATACAAAATTTGTTCCTCTATGCTGCCTTGGCTTCTTGGGTCTGGCTCTTTCTCACTGAGTTCTGAATCATTCAAAACCAGATTCATCCAGGTTCCTGTGCTTATCTGTCCTTTCTGAGTTGGAGGTGGGTGCAGATAAATTGCAGACAATTACCCTTTATCTGCAAATCTTCCTCTCCATAAGATGTTCAATGATTTAAATTGGTTTAGTGCTTTAAATATCACCAACCTGCTAATTTCAAAAGTAGCTAAATGAGGACCAGTGGAAATGCATTGTTGTAAGAAGTTCATGTTTTTGTAAGACTGTCTCAGCTTGGGGGTTGGGTCCGGTCCGTCCTGTCCCGTCCCCCCCCCAAAAGAAAAAAAGAAAAATAAAAATCACAGGTAATCACAGCACAATCACAGTTTAGATCCCTGAGAACAAGGCAGATCAGGAAAGATGTACTGGAACACCTTGCAGATTTCTGCTAACTGATATCAAGCCCTGGTATCATTTACATTTTGTGACTGAATTGGATAATTTGTCTAACTTACAAATTTATGCTTTATGTTTGTAGAATGCGATTAGTGATTGCCAAGCTTTGTAAATTGCTTTGGGAAGCGGTAGATTTAATTGTATCATGTTTTTGTATTGAACTTGTGTGAAATTCTGTTTTAAAAATGTGCTTTACCCTTTTGTGCTTCTCTAGGTTGGATAACAAAAATCATGGAAAATGACTGCATAATTTCTATCCTCGTTCTGTGCATAAGTCAAAAACTGTCCACCCTTGCGTTATGTTAGCTTCTCACATGCAAGAGAGGGTCTGAGATCCCCGCTTAAATGCCAAGAAATGTAACAGGGTTACGCATTAGAGAAATGCAAACTGACCAGATAAAACAGAGAGAAAACAGACTGTTAAAGAGAACAAATGTGACCTCAACTGATGACAGATGTCCACTTTCTGCATTTTATTATTTTTAGCTGAAAATACAGTTTTCTTTATCTTATAAGGTAGGTACTATATATAATCATGGATCCCTAATTGTGAACGCTTGTTAGTGACGCACACCCAAAACTCATTTGCTTTAATTAGATCCACTTAACATCAAATACATGTTTTATTTCTAAAAAGGGAAGTAGAAAGGTAATTCTAAAGAGGGAAACTGTTCATAATGTATATATTTAGCCATCTTAACACAGATTTAAAGTTAGTCAACCCTTCTCACTCTGTTGTTCAGCTGCCAGATCCAAAAGGCAAGTGAAACAATGGTGGGTTTAGTTACATAAATATGAAGCTGTAGAGTGGGAGGTTGTCTTTGGAATGGTTTCCTATAACCTATAATTGGGTCTCCAAGGAAGTGTAAATTACGCCTGCAGCCTGAGCTGTAGCTAATGGTCTCTGAGAATAATTATTCTGATGGTTGTTGGAGGAAAAAGAGTGGAGGAATAGGTGCAACATGTGGACAGCAAGTATAAATGTGGTGTATAGGATAGCTGCACTGTTTGTTTCTTTATGCTAATCAATTCTCATGATAATAATAAGTTAATTATCTGCATTGATTTATTCCTGAGACAATCAGCTTGAGGGTTCTTCCTATTTAAACCTGACCAGACTGGAATACCTTGAAACAATCCTTCAAGCTGCGGCTTTTGGTGTTCAAAAGGTCTTTGTACTCTGTTTCCATACGTGGTGGAGAGGTTACAGTTTGCACTCTCAGAGGTGATTGCTGCAAATTATCCACAGCTCTGTCACTTACAAATCAGATTGCTACAAGAAAGGTGGAGTGAAAACTTGAGAGCACTCAGAAATTTTAGTTCTTTATTTGTGCTTCTACAAAGGAACACTCTGTATGAGGGTCACTACCTTGATGTCTGCTTACTGTTCCCTAGGTCTGATGCAGTGTAGCAAGTTTCATTAACAGAAGTGAAAGTGCTGTTGGATGCGAGAGATCTGACCTGTGGGGAACTAGGGCTTGAACAGTATATGACAGAACCTTGTTGTTTTCCTGAAAGCTGATTTTGGATATCCCAGGTGTGGAGTTGGAGTGTCCAGACTTGCTATCTGTGTCTGTCTTCTGGATCCACTGCCTTTGAGTTTCCATTTTCCTCAAGCCGCTGTCTAGTTACTATCGCTGATTGGAGTGTGAGAGCGGAAATAAATGCATGGCTTACTAAAAAGGGCTGCAAACCATTTCAGCAAAGTAAACATCTGCTGCTGAAGCTTCTCAGGGCTCAGAGATGTGTATATGTAAACATAACACATGCACAAAGATATGTCTGTACACATGTCACTTTGTAGTGCTGGTGGCTTTTGTGGGGGTGTTCAGGTGCATTAGCCTACTATGGATGGTAGTTAAAGAAGTATTGGAGCCCTGGAAGGATGTAGGTGTAGG